TAAACACCTCTAAACGAAAAGGGCAGTCGAATGCGGCTTTATAGTCGACGAATAGGTGGAATGTGTCGATGTGTTGTTCGTGGGTCTTTTCCAAGATTTGGCACGGAGTAAACATCTGGTCAATGGTGGATTTACCAGGTCCGAAGCCGCCGCATTGTTAGGATTCAATAACATCATATAACAACAACAACTTATCCGATGTGAAGGATACTTATTCCGCTATAGTTGCCACATATCTGGTATCCTTTTTTTGCACCGCACACAGAATGCTGAAGATCCAATGACTGAGCATATATTCCTCTAGCCAATTTGTACTAATCAGTTGGTGCATTCTCCTTATCAGCGTCTGACCACATGTCTTGAATAGTTCGCCTGGTAATCCCTCGGCACCTGCTGCTTTATTAGTCTTCAGCCGATTAATTGCTATTCTGACTTAATTTTGGCTAAGTGGTATACAATCATTTCTAATCTGTTCTCGGATATACTCTTCATGGCCACTATTTGATACCAGAAGCTTCTGAAAAAGATCCTTCCAGATCCTTAACACGCAATCTGTATCTGTCACTAGGTTTCCATCTTCAACTCCACAGGAGGATGTGACTGCACCAAAACTTTCGGTTTGGTGTTTTATTCGTTTGGAAAATTTTCCGGACTTCGTTCTGAATCCTGTACCTCTCGATTTGCTCGCCCTCACGATTTTTTCTTGTTCTTTCTTCTTTTTTCTGAAAATAGGTTTCTCCTCTCCTTTTCTCCCGATAATTCTCTATCGCATTACATGTTGCTACACTCTGCAGGGTTACCCTATATGCTGCGTTTCACACATCAGCTTCTTGATGGTAGTCTTTGGTAACCATGTGTTGATTTTGCTGTAGCCTGTAGGGGGTGGACAATTCTTTCCCATTGTGCTTCTATCTGTAGTTTTATTAAAATGCCACGCTAGACACTCTGAAATTATTTTTAGTGAACAGAGAATTAATTTATACTTTGTCCCAAAATGGGATAAGGTATTAAGTCCTGTAAGTCCACATAACCTATGAACAAATGAGACATTGATCATAGAAATCGATGAATTCCTAACGGTTTTATTCACAATTAAGTGCATATTTCTCAAAGGTTACCCTATTCGAAAACCGTGGGAGATATAATTTATTTCAGATTTTAAAATATAAACGTCATATATTTAACTACTGCAACAAACCATCGACCCGCTTCATTTCATTCAGAACATCACCATTAATGACATCCTTAATATTATAGCCGATGACAAAGTCCATATGGGAAAAATTATCCAAATCAATAAAATGTCGAACAGTTTTATTACCCAAAAGATCGGACAAGTGCTCGACAACCTCAACCGCTGCAAAAGCATCATCTTTACTGTGATAGAAATGCAGTGGAAATTGTGGATTTATATTGGCCAATTGGTAATCTGGAGGGGTATCCTGCTTATAACGTTCCTATTGCCCTTAGTCCCAAAATCAAATTGACGGAATTTACGCGATTTATAAAGCTGCACATAATGTATGGCTTGATTGGTGGAACAACGGGCCGGATGAGTTTCATAAAAGTCGGGATAGACATCCTAAGACGGAGGAAGGTTATTTTTTTGGAAAAGTCAATATCAAAATATTTGTAATTCCTTTTGTCAATCTTACCTGCAAAGTATAGTCTGAACGACCACCCAAACCCACAATTAATAGATAGGGACAAATGAAAAGAGCCCCCTCCGTTCGACGACAACTTTCAATTCCCAAAATGTTGCGGATGAAAACATTGTCAATTAGGGCTTTGTCACCAGCCAATGGCGTCATAAAGGAATAACTACCCAATAATGGTGCGGAGAGCTTTATCAATTTAGAAGTGCTATGTTCCATAAAGGCCACCGGAGCCATTAGATGTACTGACCTCAACTTCGCATTATATTGCGGATAGGTGGACAGTAATACAAACATTGATGTAGTACCCTGAGAATGACCAACATAATGCAGATTATTTTGTTTGGTCGTTTTCAATACGAAGTCAATAATACTGGGCAGATCCAGAACACCAATTTCATGCCATGTAAAACGCCAAAATTCTCGAGAATCCGTTGATAATTTGGGGTGATAGCCGCCATAAGGATTACCACGGGTATTACCCAACCATACATCATATCCATTCTCAACTAAAGTATAGGCTAAGAGATCGGGTACACCTTTCAACACCCAAAAATCGGAGGAGCTAACTAAGCCATGTTGTAGCAGGGCCACAGGTAGTTTGACATTGTTCGGGGCATTTGGTTTTCTAATACGAAACACTGTTATACCAAAACCATCGGGGGTGGTTACATTATACTCTTCACTTTGGCAGCCTGCATCTTTTATGCGATCCGCCTGAGGGGTTTTTTTATCAAATTTTTATATTTTTTTTTTTCAAAATACAAATGTGTCTTTAACTTACAGTTGTCAGGGTTTCTACATTCTGTAGCGCTAAGAGGAAAACCGCGACAAATATGGAAATTATTTTCACAGTCATTATAGAGGTATGATAGACAATAGCGCCACCCAGAGGGAAAGGGTAAAACTAAATACATAATTAACCACTGCACATAATTGAAGGAGGTGTTTTTTTCAGCCATAGTTTCAGCGATAGTTGGTAGCCACTCACCTAGTACAGACTACAGCCGAAAAATCATTTTAATAGCTTATGTCTTCATCAAATAAACATCATCATATGAAGATAACACAAAGCTATGACACCCGAGGAAAATGGAAAAACCTAAATAAGCAAGGACTCCAACCCCTGCACACAATTCAAGAAGGCGTTTTTTCTATGCAACGATAGATGGCAGCCCCATCATACCAAAATCCAATCTCGGCAAAAACTCAACATTAACACATTAGGATAACACAAAATAGGAATGGTAGGATATAGCGCCACACAGAGGAAAAAGGCAAACTTGAATACATAATTAACCACTGTACAAAATTCAAGAAGGTGTTGTTTTCAGGCAACGAGATCTGGCAACCACTTCACCTCCGCATCAATGAAATGTCAATATGAGGTTAGCACAAACAAAGAATGTCAGGAGATATCTCCAGCGAGAGGAAAATGGCAAAACTTAATAACCAAGGAAAACAACACATGAACAAAATTCATGCTGGTGTTGTTTCTAGGCAACGATAGATGGCAGCCCCATCATCAAGTACAGGCTGCAGCAGACCAATCATACCAATAGCCAATCTCGACATGAACTCAACATTAACACATTAGGATAATACGAAACTGGAATGACAGGAGATAGCGCCACCCAGAGGAAAATGACAACACTCAATAAGCATCGACCACATCCACGGCACAAAATTCGAGGAGGCGTTGTTTCTAGGCAACGATAGATGGCAGCCCGATCATTAAGTGCAGGCTACAGCAGACAAATCATCTACTTAGCTGGAATAGAACAATAATTAACTTAACTAAAACAAGGACCAATCGCGTAGCATGGTAATGCTTAGTGGAAACCATATGCTCTCAAGAAAAGTAACAGGATAAAAACAATCGCAAATAAAATTGTGCGAATAACGAATTTCAAGTTGCCTTTAAAGACCTTTTGTAAGTATACCTGTTACCCATGGCTAGAACCTGTCCAATTGCAGCCACTTCAGTTGAAGAATACAGCTATATTTCCTCCCTTTATTATCAGATGTCGATGTATTCGGTGGGAAGTGAGCTTTCATGAGAAGTCTTATTGTTTCTTCTGTTGTCTCTATTCTGTTTCCCCTCTCATCTACTGTGGTTTTGGTTTGAGTGCGGGTTTTTAATAGAAACTTCGTTAGTTTTGAGACATCATTTACGCTCTCAGAATATTTCCCAGGAGCTGCGTTCTTGCGGTTCTTGTCATTTTGTTCTATTATTTCCCCTTAGTGTGGAAGTTGTCTCAGTATACTGTAGATTGCGGCGAGCTCTATCCTTTCCCGAAGTGGACGACTTTTTTCGAAAGACTTTACAATTCCTGTCAGTGTTCAGGCTGTAATTATAGGGCTGCCCTAACCTATCTTTTATCAGTCTCCCGAATTTTACCCAGTTAGTCTTAGACTTGTTTCGGAAGAATATTTTAAACCTAATATAGTTATTTTCTTCTCGCATAAAAAGTGCTATCCAGCGTACTGTGTGAACAACTGAGGCCAATGGTTAATCACATTATTGGACCATATCAATGTGGCTTCAGACCTGGAAAATCCACCATAGACCAGATTTTCACTCTGCACCAAATACTGGAAAATACCCGCTTTACTAACAACAGGATTAATTAAGATTGGCCGAACAGGAGAGAAATACGATTGAGCACTCCCTTCGTCGTCAAGGTGATGCATACAGAATGGTCGAATAAGAGCGAAATATATTGTAGCACTCGCTTTACTGCCCCTTTTTTAGCTATTTTAAAAATTGTAGTCATATTATCCAAAGGAATGGGGGTAATATCCAAAAGTTGAATGGAAAGGGGTAGGTACTATAGCAGAACCTAAAATTATGTACCGAAGAAGTGTGCGGTTTTTGTTATTGGGTTAATTTATGGTGGATATATGCCGTACACTTGTGCCTAGCTGTGGGAATAACCTACAACATCAAAAATAGAATTTATAATGGAGGGAATAGCTACCATAACAGAATCCAGCAGGAGAGTTCTGCATAATCGGTTGTATCTTGAAAATTTTCTTTAATTGTGAAAATCATAAAAAGATCATTTATGATCTCCTATTCCGAAAGGAAAACTAAGCTCTGGGCGATATATATTCATCCAGATTGGATACAAAAATACACGAACAAAAATTATTCAAACCATATCCTCGAAAGGCATATAAAATGATATCTAGCGTGCTATGTGAACGACTGAAGCCAATTTTCAATGATATTATTGGATCGTATTTATGCGGCTTCAGATTCCATCGTAGATCATAAATCCATTTTAAATCACATTTTCACACTGCGCACCATGGAAACGACCCACGAAAATTACATCGACATATTCCACCTATTCTTTGACTACAAAGCATCATTTGACAGGTAAATTCGCCCAGAGGTGTTTAAAGCCATGTCTGCGTGTTTAAAGTCATGTCTGCATTCCTGCGAAATTAATATGGCTATGCAGGATAACCTTAACTGGCACAAGGTTAAAGCGGTTAAAATCCGAAAGGATCATTCGGATCCCATCAATACTGAACGAGAATTCAGACAAGGTGACAGTTTGTCATGAGACCTTTTTAACATCCTGCTGGAAAAGGTCATACTAGATGCAGCGATAAACAGAAATGACTCTCTGTACACCAAACAGCATATGTTAGGCGAGTAACTTCGACGAAATGGACATAATGGGTCGAACATTGCCAGCGGTAACAGCCACCTTTGAACGAATTGAAAAGGAGTCTGCGAAAGTGGGACTGGCAGTAAATGACGAGAAGACCAAGCTGATGGTATCAACTCGCAAGACGTCCAGTACACTGGGACCTACTGTGGAACTTGAAAACTACAGCTTCGAGGTAGTTAACGATTCTATATACCTTGTTACCGCCATAAATAAATCGAATGACATCAGTTTTGAAATTCGGAGAAGAATAGTATTGACCAATAGATGCTACTATAGTCGGAGTAAGCAATTGAAAAACAAGGCCACCTCTCGCCAAAACAAATTCACACTCTACAAGACGCTGATACTACCCGTTCTATTGTATGGATCTGAAGCAAAGGTACTTGCGCTAGTAGATGAGACAGCTCTTGGAGTGTCAGAGAGAAGAATGATTCGAAAGATCTATAGGCCGATCTGCGTCGACGGTGATTGTGGCCATCGAATGAACCATGAGTTGTACCATCTAATCTCGAACATCGACATAGTCAGACGTATCTGGCTGCATCGAGTACGTTGGCTAGGCCCCAGCTCAAAAGGCATATAAAAGCGAGCCAAGTGGTGATTCACGCAGAAGGGATGATCACGAATTCGATGCAGAGATCAACTGTAAGAAAGTCGTGCGTGAAAAATTTTAATGGAACAAGCGATCTGTCACAAACCAGCTAAGTAAGTAGGAATGTCCTCAAAAGAAACTATAGGTATATTAATTTATTTCAAAATATTGACATCATGTCATCAACTACTGCAATAGACTATCGACCCGCTTCATTTCACTCAAAACATCAGCATTAACGACATCCTTAACATTATAGCCCAGGACAAAATCCATATGAGCGAAATTATCCAAATCAATAAAATGGCGAACAGTTTTATTACCCAAAAGTTGTACCAAATGCTCGACGTCTTCAACAGCTGAAAAACTATCATCCTTACTGTGATAGTAATGCAGTGGAAATTGTGGATTTACATTGGCCAATTGGTAATCTGGTGGGGTATCCTGCTTATAATGTTCCTGATTGCCTTTAGTGCCGAAATCAAATTGACGGAATTTACGCGATTTATAAAGCTGCACATAATGTATGGCTTGATTGGTGGAACAACGGGCCGGATGAGTTTCATAAAAATCGGGATAGACATCCTAGAAGGAGGTGTTATTAAAAAAAATCAAGATTATAAAATTTATAATTTCTTTTGCAAATCTTACTTCCAACGTGTAGTCGGATTTGCCACCAAAACCCAAAAAGAATAAATAGGGACAAATGAAGAGTGCACCTTCCGTCCGGCGACAACTTTCCATTCCCAAAATGTTGCGGATGAAAACATTATCAATAAGGGCGTTGTCACCAACCAATGGTGTCAAAAAAGAATAACTGCCCAGCAGTGGGGCGGTGAGTTTTATTAACGTCGAAGTGCTATGTTCCATAAATGTCACCGGAGCCAATAGATGTACTGATCTCAATTTCGCATTATATTCAGGGCGGCTGGAAAGTAATACAAACATTGTTGTAGTACCCTGAGAATGTCCCACATAATGAAGGTTATTTTGTTTTGTCGTTTTCAATACAAAGTCAATAATACTGGGCAGATCTAGAACACCAATTTGATGCCACGTGAAACGCCAATATTCCGCAGAATCCATAGATAATTGTGGATGATAACCTCCATAAGGATTGCCACGGGTATTACCCAACCATACATCATAACCATTTTCAACTAATGTATAGGCTAACGGACTTGGTACCCCTTTCAACACCCAAATATCTGAGGAGCTAACTAAGCCATGCTGTAATAGGGCCACAGGTCGGTTGGCATCATTTGGGGCACTTGGTTTTCTAATACGAAACACGGTTATACCAAAACCATCGGGAGTGGTTACATTATACGCCTCACTGTGGTAGCCGGCATCTTTTATGCGATCAGCCTAAAGGAGGAGGTTTTTCAGAATTTCAATATTGGCGAGATATTAATGGGTCATGAACTTACAGTTGTCAGTGCTCCTACATTCTGTAGCGCTAATAGAAAAACCGCCACAAATATTGAAATTACTTTTATATTCATCATGAATATAAAAAACAGTGACTAATGATTTAGAAATCGGAATATTGTGGCGAGGTTCTAAAAGTTGCCATGTTTATATGAACAAAAATCTCATTAAATATTTTAACGCATTTCCCATAAAATTTTAGTCGTGTTATTCAAGGTATATTACTGGAAAGTAATTATTTTTTTAATCTGAAAAAAATCGGTAATACATCAGAAAATATAATATTTTGGGGACTATAGGTTTTTGACAGCTTACATTTTTTACCTACTTACTACGCTTGTAATTACTTACTTAGGCTTGTTACAGAACGGTTGTTCCATAAGCCGAGCTTAAAAAAGATTGCCAAGCGCGTCGGCCTTGTGCGCATCCCCGCCAATTTGAAAGACCATGTTGTTTTCTACTTGGTCTTTCCATCTGATTCGTGACCTTCCCCTTCTACGGCAACCATAGGCTCGCTTTTATATGCTTTTGAGCTGGGGCATTCTCATTCATTCGCAGAATATGGCCTAGCCATCGTAGTCGCTGCAGCTCTATACGACTGACTATGTCGATGTCCGCGTATAAATTGGTGGTTCATCGTGGTTCATTCGATGCCGATATTCACCGTCGACGCAGATAGGCCAGTAGATATTTCGGAGAATTTTTCTTTCAAACACCACAAGAGCTGCCTCATCTGCTTGCGCAAGTGCCCATGCTTCAGATTCATATAACAGCACGGGTGGTATCAGCATCTTGTAGAGTGTGGGTTTGGTCTGGCGGGAGGTGGCCTTGTTTTTAAACTGCATACTTAGACCATAGTAGCATCTGTTGGTCATCACAATCCTTCTCCGAATTTCAAAACTGGTGTCATTCGTTTTATTTATAGCGGTACCAAGGTATATAAAATCTTTAACTACCTCGAAGCTGTAGTTATCAAGTTCCACAGTTGGTCCGAATCTACTGGACGTTTTGCGCGTTGATACCATCAGCTTGGTCTTCTTGTTGTTTACTGCCAGACCCACTTTGGCAGACTCCTTTTCAATTTGTACGAAGGTGGCTGTTACCGCTCGCAATGTTCGACCCATTATATCGATGTCATCGGCGTAGGCGAGTAACATGTGTTGTTTGGTGAACAGAGTGCCATTTCTGTTCACCTTTGCATCTCATATGACCTTTTCCAACAGGATGTTAAAAAGATCACACGACAAACTGTCGCCTTGTCTGAATCCTAGTTCGGTATTGAAGGGATCCGATAGGAGCTTTCCGACTTTAACTGCTGACCTTGTGCCACTTAAAGTTATCCTGCATAGCCGTATAAATTTTGCAGGAATGCCGAACGTAGATATGACCTTAAACACCTCTGAACGGATAGGGCTGACAAATGCGGCTTTATAGTCGACGAATAGGTGGTGAATCCTAGTTCGGTATTGAAGGGCTCCGATAGGTCCTTTCCGATTTTAACTGCTGACCTTATGCCACTTAAAGTTATTCTGCATAGCCGTATTAATTTTGCAGGAATGCCGAACACCGCTGAACGGATAGGGCTGTCAAATGCGGCTTTATATTCGACAAATAGGTGGTATGTGTCAATGTGTTTTTAGTGGGTCTTTTCCAGGATTTAGCGCAGAGTGAAAATCTGTTCAATGGTGCATTTGCCAGGTCTGAAGCCGCATTAGTATGGTTCAATAATGTCGTTTACACAGCACACGGGATAGCACTTTATATGCGATTTCTTATTATTACCTACTTAATAGTCCTTGAAAATGTTTTTAAAAAAGCCACGCCTATTGCTAAGCCTTGAAAAACTAATTTTAAAAAATACAGACCTATTGTAGGCTTTAAATATATTTTTATTAAATATTTTATAATATGGTATTATTTTTGGCCAGCAGCTCTTCTGTATCCTGCATAATTTCCAAAATCGGCCGATTAATAACTTCGTGGATGTTATTTGCCCAAATAAAATCGATATGAGCAAACTCCTTCAAATCGATGTAATGATCAACACTACGGTTACCTAAAAGTTTACTCAATTTCTCAATATCCTTACGCGTTGCCAACTCATCGTAATCGCTATAATACAAATGTAGAGGAAATTTCGGATTAATATTTTCCAAAGGATATTCAGGGGGCGCTGTGTGATTATACTGCAGAATATTGCCTTCCCGCCCAAAATCATATTGGCGAAAGCGTCCGGATATTTTAAGCTGTACATAATGTATGGCCTGATGGGTGGACGATGGTGATGGATGTGTGGCATAAATGTCCTGTAAAAGTGACTTGAAGAGGAAACGAATAATTAAAAAATCCACATTTCGAATATTGCGGAACTTACATGATTTAAATATCTGGAATAACCACCAGCTACCATAAATAACAACGATGAACAATATTCGGGATTTGCAACGCCTGTACGACACTGTTCTAATCCGAGTAGTTGATGTAAAAGCGGAATTTGTAGAAGGGGTATATCGCCCAGCAGTTCACTTATAATTGGAGAACGAACAAAAATCGGTACCAATAGCTGAAACAAGGGGGCACGAACATTTGCCATATAGGCCGCCGGAGCCAGTAAATGCACGGATTTGAGTCTGCTATTATATTCCGGATGTGTTGAAAGTAAGACCAACATAATGGTACAACCCTGAGAGTGACCGACATAGTGTAGTGACGACTGTTGCGTTTCCTTGAGAATATAATCGATCATTGAGGGTAAATCAATTGTACCAATTTCATGCCATGAAAAACGCCAAAATCTCCTATCATTCGATGTCATTTTCACGTGGCGTTCACCATAGGCATTTCCGCGTGCATTACCCAACCACACATCATAGCCCTTATCGACCAATTCGAAGGCCAAGGGATTTTCCAATTCACGTATAACCCAACAATCGGAACAACTAAAAAGACCATGCATAAGAAGTAGGGGAGACTGGGGCACCTTCGGCATCGGGGCACCTTCGGCAATCGCGTTTTCGATATGAAGCTCTCCCCGTACATCACTAGTTTCGATACATATGTATCGAATATCGAAATAAATAACTTACACAAAGTTTGAAATTTCTAACTAATAAGCTTATTTAGATACATAGGTTTTTGTATTTTTATAGATGTTTCTGTAATATTTCAATTCCATTTCGTAAGTATTTCGTGTATAAAACTTTTTAAATTTTTAAGACAATATTATTAAAAAGTGGTTAACTACGATGTGTATTATTCTAGAAATATTTAAAAATATAATATTTTTACAAAGCTGATCGAAAAAAATGAAAAAACTATAAAAAGTACATTCGGGGCACATTCGGCCATATACAGGTTGTGCAATATTATTTCCTTAAAATGTTTTTGAGTTTGTCTTTAAAACTAATCCTTTAATATGGCTCGAAATTGCATATAAAAGATCAAAAGTGCTTATATTGACGAAAATGCGATAGAAAACCCCTATTTCTGATTGTGTGTGCGACCTTGAGATGTAAACGTCCGCCGCTAGAAAATAAAGCCCTATAATTCAAACATTGTGTGGCGTATTAAAACCAAATAGAGCCTTTAGAGGATCAGAATTTCAACCAGACTGATAGCGATGACAATTACCCGGCTATGACTATGGTGCCGAATGTGCCCCATCAAATGCCGAAGCTACCCCGGGTTGGGGCACATTCGGCGAATTTGACTTTTTTTACAAAACTGTAAAATTTTTTAACTAATACTATTTTTATATATCTTTTTGGTACTATTTTTCATAATTAAGTGTCAGAGGACAATAATCAGCCATATAGTTGTTATATATGTTGAATATGTACTGAGATATAGAGCTCTAAAAAAAAAGTGCCGAAGGTGCCCCAGTCTCCCCTACAACAGGACCATCCGTAAGTTTTCTCTTTTGTACGGAATTCTTGACACGAAATATTGCCAGTTGATAACCATCCGGGGTCTTCACATTATGGGTTTCACTTGAATAGCCGGCATATTTGATACGATCAGCCTGTTAAGAATTTTTTTTTTTTTAATTTCTTTTCAGAAAATAAACCACCCACTTACTGTTGTAACGGCCGCAGCATTCTGATATTTCGAAATTAGAAAAATTAAACCAACAATTATCGTCTTTCTCATGACTGAGAAAAAATCGTGCCTGACTAGATTGATATACCGTTAAAAATTAAATGAAAACATGTTTAGTTCTGTTCTGTAAAATAGGTGTTTATTTGTAGAATTGTCAGATAGACACACACAAACACACCAACTGTCATCGATACAAAAAAATGATTTTGATTGGAAAGTGAAATTTCTAAAATACACAGAGAAAAATAAATTTTGGCCTGACCTGCAAGCCTCCACGATGCGATTTTAACCAGCAAAATACCAAAAATGAGTCCGCAATTTTATCAAAATATTGGCGACGTAGGGGATGATAGATCAAGCAACGGCTCTGATTGGTTTTAGCATGGCAAAGCCCAGGCCTATCTTGTCTCCTCTTTCATCTCAGTTGTGGACACTGACCTCCCCACGATGTCACCGTGGGTAGCTACTTCCATCACCTGTTGAAATAGTGAGCTGATAGTGAGCCGCGAGTTCACCCACAAGAATTAAAAAAAAAATGGGTTGTCGGGTTAGTTACCCGCCAACATTGAGAAACCCCCTTCTTTTATGACAAACCAACTAAACAGAAAACCAAACTCCACCATGTTTACGACCCCCGCAAACGTATAAAAGACCACGATCAGCGAATCTGAACATGAAATGTGCGCACTTTGTACAGAACAAGTGCAGTTTTCCCTTTGACGGATGTACTCAAGAAGTACAAAGCCGATATTATTGCCTTACAGGAAATGCGATGGAAAGCGGCTGGCGTAAGTAAAACAGATGACTGCGCCCTGTATTCGGGCTGCCAAGAAAAGAGACATGAACTTGGCTACGGATTTTAACAGGAGAATAACAGATCTCGTCTCCAGATTCACTCCAGTAGATGAGCGAATTGCTATAAATCGCATAAAAGCGTAGTTCTTCTACATCAGTATCATTTGTGCCCATGCTGCGATGGAAGACAAAGATGAACAGACCAAAGACATATTTCCGAATCGAATATCGATTCGGACATTAACCATGTGGCAGCCAAGGTCCGCACCCGTTCTAATGTTGAAAAGGTGCAATCTAACACAACACGGAAATTCGAAGTCAAAAAGCTGCAAACACAACAGATAGCAGAAGCCTATTCCACTCACCTTACCAACCTGCTTGACGAAAGCACTTCTTGTCCCGATAATAGTTTAGAAGCACAATGGCAAAACATTGCCCACTCCCTACAAACTAGAGCAAAAGCAACACTTGGGTACCAAAAACCTCCATCAGGAAACCCACGCAGCGTATAGGACCACCCTGCAGACAGTAGCAACACGTAATGCGAGAGAGAATTATCAGGAGAAAAGGAGAGAGAAGAATCGTATTTTTAGAAAAAAGGAGAAGGAAAACGTAAACGTCAGCAAATCGAGATGTACAGGAGTCAGAATGAAGTCCGGAAATTTTACCAACAAGTAAAACACCAAACCGACGTCTTTGGTGCAGGCACATCCTGATGATCGGAAGGAGCATTTTGCAAAGCTTCTGTTATCACATAGTAACAGTGAAGAAGATATCCCAGAACCAATAAGAGATGACGTTATAGATTGGATACCACCTAGCCAAGATAAAGTCAGAATAGCAATCAATCGGCTGAAGTATAATAAAGCAGCAGGTGCCGATGGATTACCTGCCGAACTATTCAAGACCGTGTTCAGATGCCGGTCAGGAGCATGCACCAGCTCATTAGTACAATTTGGCTAGAGGAATGCATGCCCAATGATTGGACCCTCAGCACCCTGCGTCTCGTGCACAAAAAAGGAGACAAGACTATATTTGCCTACTGTAGAGGAATAAGTCTCCTTTCCATCACATATAAAGTGATATACAGCGAGCTGTGTGAACGACTGAAGCCAATGGTCAATGACATTATTGGATCATATCAATGCGGCTTCAGGCCCGGCAAGTCCACCATTGACCATATTTTCACTCTGCGCCAAATCCTGAAAAAGATCCACGAAAAACATATCGACACATTCCATCTATTCGTCGATTATAAAGCCATATTCGATAGCCCTGTCCATTCAGAGGTGTTTAAAGTCATGTCCGCGTTCGGTATTCCTGCAAAATTAATACGGCTATGCAAGTCGGAAAGGGCCTCTCTTCAGTACCGAGCGAGAATTCCGACATGGTGACAGTTTGTCGTTGATCCGTTTAACATACTGCTGGAAAAAGTGAGCAGAAATGACACTCTGTACACTAAACAGCACATGTTACTCCCCTACGACGGCGACATCGATATAATGGGTCGAACATTGCAAGCCACCTTCGAGCCAACTGAGACCTACTGACAGTAAATGATTTCAGAGCATGGCTTTAGATACTATGGCCTTATATACAATTGCACATTTTCTTTCAGTGCTCTCGTAGATAGAAACGGGGCGGTCAATTTCTAACTGGCATCGTGAAATATGGAATGTTGCATGCATTTCATGATGTTTTCACAATCACGGGTCAATACATTCCATCCAATAAATGTAAAGTCATTTACAATTCAACAACAACTATCAGTTAAATTAATCATGGTGTCTATTGATTTGATATGTTGTTGCATTTCCAATGATGACAAAGCGAAATTTTCAAAAATCACAACGTGTACCACGTTTAACACGGCGCTTGTTAGATATAATTAAAATTATAACTAACAAAGTATTATTAATTCTTATTATTAGTAATAGATTTGGTAATAAATACTAATGGATTCATTATTTATGAAACGCCAGACAGAAGGTCTTCATCGAGGAAACCAATCGGTATAAATGATAAAATGTCTTAGGAACCGACAGTAAGTCTTCTTGGAGGAGACCAATGATCTTGTTATGGTCATATTTCTTCTCGTAGAAGCTCTTATGGTAAAAGGACAGAAGATTTCCTCTTATCATAGAAGACCAAAAACTCTTCTCATAGAAGACTAAAACGTTTTCTCATAGAAACCCAGAAAGTCATTCCTCACAAGTACAGAAAGAAGGTCTTCTTATAGAAGACCAGAAGATCTTCTTATAGAAGACCAGAAAGTATTCTTCTTACAGAAGACCAGATGGTCTTCTTATAGAAAAAGAAGGTCGTCTTATAGAAGACCCGAAGGTCTTCTTATAGAAGACCCGAAGGTCTTCATATGGAAGACCAGAAAGTCTTCATATAGAAGACCAGTAATTCTTTTTATAGAAGTCCAGTAGGTCTTCTTATAGAAGAACAGAAAGTCTTTTTATAAAAGACCAGAAGATCTTCATATAGTAGACCAGAATGTATTCTCAGAGACAAGGCGGTCTTCTCATAAAAGACCAAAAGATCTTCTTATAGAAGACCAGAACTAATTTCTCATAGAAAACTAGAAGTTGTTCTTATAGACCAGGCGGTCTTCTCATAGTATACCAGAAAATTTTCTTAGAGAAGACCAGAAGGTCCATCTGGTCTTCTTCTTATAGAAAACCTGAAATTATTATTATCTCAGACCAGCAGGTCTTCTTATAGAACACCAAAAGTCCTCCTTTAGGAGACCATAAGGTCATCTAATGAAAGGCCAGCAGGTCTTCTTATGGACGACCAGAAGGACTTTTTATAGAAAATAAGAAAGACTTTTTATAGAAGACCCGAAGGTCTTTATATAGAACAGAAGGTTTTCTCATAGAAGACCAGAAGGTATTCACATAGAAGACCAGAAGGTTTTCTCATAGAAGACCAGAAGGTCTTCTCATAGAAGACCAGAAGGTCTTCTCATAGAAGACCAGAAGGTCTTCTCATAGAAGACCAGAAGGTCTTCTCATAGAAAACCAGAAGGTCTTCTTATAATAGACCAGAAGGTCTTCTTATAATAGACCAGAAGGTATTTTTATAGAAGACCAGAAGGTCTTCTCATAGAAGACCAGAAGGTATTTTTAGAGAAGGACCGAAGGTCGTCTTAGAAAAGGCCAGAAGGTCTTCTTAGAGAAGGCCAGGAGGTCTTCTTAGAGAAGGCCAGAAGGTGTTCTTAGAAAAGACTAGAAGGTCTTCTCATAGAAAACCAAAATGTCTTCTTATAGAAGTCTCGCAGGTCTTCTCATAGAAGACCAGAATGTCTTCTTATAATAGACCAGAAGGTATTTTTATAGAAGACCAGAAGGTCTTCTCATAGAAGACCAGAAGGTATTTTTAGAGGACAGAAGGTCGTCTTAGAAAAGGCCAGAAGGTCTTCTTAGAAAAGACCAGAAGGTCTTCTCATAGAAAACCAAAATGTCTTCTTATAGAAGTCTCGCAGGTCTTCTTATAGAGGACCAAAAGGTCTTCTTATAGAAGTTCCGCAGGTCTTCTTCTTGCGAGGAAAAGAAAGTTTTCTTATAGAAGAATTTTAAGTCCTCTATACGGTACAGAATTTTTTATAAAATACTAGCAGTGCTTAGGAAACCGATCAGGTTCGTCGCTAAATAAAACAAATTCCGGAAAATCTGTTTCTATTTTGGATAAAATTCTAGCTTTTCTTAAAACTTAAAAATATATCACAATTTATTACCCATCACGAATACATAATATAGCTTTAAGGCCCCGTCTCGTTTTCCAGCGCCACTTCAGCATCATTCATTATTTGCAAAATACGATTATTCTGGACCTCCTTAACGTTGGTGGCCCACAGAAAATCTATGTGAGCGAAATTTTTCAATGGTATAAAATGTTCTACACTTCGACTGCCCATGATGCCGGTTAATTTTTCAATATCCCTCCTCGTTGATAATTCATCATAATCACTATAATATAAATGTATTGGGAATCTGGTGTTAACATTGGCCAAATTGTAATCGGGTGGTGTTGACTGATTGTAACGTGCCATATTGCCTTCTACACCAAAATCATATTGACGAAAATATCCGGAGACTTTTTGTTGTATATAGTGTATAGCCTGATGGGTGGAAGCTGTTGAAGGATGTGTATTGTAGGCTTCCTGCAGAAGGAACTGAAATGGGAAAATATATATTTTTTTTATAAAGTAGCGTTACGGCGAAGTTGAGAACGTGTGTGAGATGATCGAAGGACCATTTTTTCAGTTTACAAAATTAAAATTTTTGAAATGAAAATAATGTGCATGAATTGAGCCGAATATCTTCTCGTCATTTCCTATTAAAGCAGACCTCCTCCTAGACGACCAGAGTCCAGAAGGTATTCTTATAAAATACCATAATGTCTCTCTACGGAATAACTTCAGGTCTTCTTCAAACAGATCAAAAATAGTTATAGAAGACCAATAGTTGTCCTATACAAGAAATTCCTTAATAAATACAGAGGATCTGATGCGGAACCGATATAAATGGCCCATATCGAATATTTCCGTAAATATAAATATCGTCCTCCAAGAACGCAATATGCCAATTTACACTCCACTTACACTTTTAAAATACGCCGAATATCCACCGAATATAAGGAACACCACACGTCTACACAGCTCCGGACTGGCTGATGGATCGCTGTTAATTATTTCACGGCATTTATCCACCGCGAATATTTGTCGCAAAATTGGTTGTTGAAAGAGAGCAGAATCGCCCAACAATGGATCCAATGGTGAATATGAACCCACCACCACTGCCAGTAGCTCAAACAGCAATGCCCGAATATATTTACAAAATATCACAGGTGCCAACATATGTGAGGTCTTAAACTTCGCATTATATTCCGGTTGCATTGAGAGTAAAACAAACATTATTGTTGTACCCTGAGAATGGCCAACATAATGTAAAGACGTTTGCTGGGTCTCCTCCAATATATAATCGATAGTTTGTGGTAAATCGTTCATGGCTATTTCATGCCATGAAAAACGCCAAAATTTCGGATCATCTGGTGAGAGGCTAACATGACGTTTACCATAGGTATTACCACGAGCATTACCCAACCAAACATCATAGCCACTATCCACCAAATCATATGCCAATGTGTCGGTTAATCCTCGTATCACCCAACATTCCGAAGAGGTTAACAAACCATGCCACATTAAAACCACTGGGCGCCTAGAAACATCATTTGTCGAATTTCTTATGCGAAATATTGTAATGATGTAACCATCTTTGGTGCGGATTTCATGATTTTCACTAACGTAGCCGGCACTTCGTATGCGATCGGCCTAAATAATAAAAAGGAAGTGCATTATAATCAATCTACGGAAGAGACTTGGCAATTGTATTTCCCACTTACACTTGTTGTCGTTGTTGTTGCACCAATAACACTTTGGAACTTTAGAATTAGAACGACGCTTAGATTTAATACGATAGCCGACTTCATTGTTTCGTCCAGCTAATCAATGTAAATACTGAGAATGTAATGCCACAAAACATGATGAGATTGTTTATAAAATAAGGCAAAATCCAGTAATCATGTATTTGGTCTATGTGTGTTCAAGCCGAACTTAAAATGCGTTACATTATTTTTATGAATTAGGCACACATTGAGGTTATGTGGTGTGTATTTAAATAAATCGAACATTGTTTTCAAATAGTTTACAAATATTATTCACCAAAGTATGTTTTTAAATATCTAATTTAAATAAGTAAAATTCGACAGTGTCGAAGAAGGGCCCTTTGCAGTTCCTTCGGTGTGAAAATGCATTCCATTTTTTTCTTTATATCGACTTCTGTATGTTGTTACAGAATTCGCATATGCATTTTCCAAATTATTTCGAAATAAAAATTCGATATAACGTTCAGAGAGTGTTCCAATAATGGGATTTCTGCATTTTATGAATGCAATTCATAAAAATTTAAATACCAGCTTCTTGTCAGAGAGAGAGAGAGATAGACAAAATTAACTTTGAAGTGTGTGTGCTTGATGGTGGTCGCTTGTTCCTATGGCACAGCAATACTTTGTCTTTTTAATTTTTGTACAGTCAAAATCGTTCATAACGACGCTATTTATAACGATATACCCAAAAGTCCCGTCATCGGTCCTTTGATCGTCGCTATAAGCGATTTCGATTCCAATTTGATTTTATGTTTACTTCTCCTTTGTTATGTCTTGTCTCGTTTTTTCTTATTTACTTATATGTGCATGCTCTGCATCATTAGAACAATAATATATAATGTAAAACATTCGGTTGGGCTTGTTATTCGTATAAACACTTGTTTCATATTTATCATTTATAATATCAAAATTATTTGGAAAATACATATGCGAATTTTGTAACACCATTTCTGAAAAAAAGAAACAATGGAAATCAAAACTAGTAACAATCGAGGGAGTGGAAAGTAGGCGGTTTTTAGCAACAGAAATATTAGACAAATAAATGGTTTCAAAAACAACAACCACGAAGTAAGGGAAGACACGAATAACGATACCAAAACCCAACACAGTCGATCAATAAATGGTGGTTGTGTTTTTTTTTTTGGGCTTGTTAACACCATTTTATCATTTATAAAAAAATTATTTGGAAAATACAATGGAAATCAAAACTAGTAACAATGGAAATCAAAACTAGGAAAGTAGGCGGTTTTTAGCAAGAAGAGAGATAGAGAAATGAGCGCAACTATAGGTAAAGTAAAGCGAAGTAGGAAAATAGTTGTGATATGTGATAATGAAATGTTTTTGGAAAACATAGTGTCTTTCTCATGATTATAATAATTTTCACTTGTTTTCAAAGCGAGGAACAAGTGCAATATTTAAACAATCTGTATATGTGCTGTACATGTGCTAAATTACTAAGCTTTAACTTATATATTGTCATATCTATCGTGATTTCCACAGCCCGACGAGTGAATAAATCGACATAGAATTTAACACTTTAACTTGGAAAGTTTATGGTCGGGTATGACGATTTAATGATGATCGGAAGGTGTCGGAAGTCGTATAATAATCGGCTACGACGATTTATCGATGATCGGGAACGTTGTATACAAATTAGAAATACATGCTGACCAAGCTCTTGGGCAAACTACTATATCTAACTAAGAATATTAAGTTGAGGCCTCTGCGGAGAACGGTAAGCCAAAGCATCTGTGGAGAACAGCAAATCGAATCCTCTATATCCACTATGATAAACCACCAAAAATATTGTGAATGCTCGTATGTGCAAAGAGCACTTATAATACAAAGCAGGCCCGTTCAATGACAAGTTCGCTTCAGTAGATAAAACTGATGTACTTATGGTTGTGTTGTTATGAAGTGAATGTGAATTTTCTGCATGTAAACGTTAATGCTAAAGAAATTCGTGGTGTTCTGCTTGTATTACATTTGTTATGTTGAATAGAACGTCGGTAGGTGACTGGAAATGAGAGGACATCATAGCAAGTCAGGGCTGTGTGGAGAATGCCCCCTCAAATCCACGTTTTTGGCGACCAAAAAATATACACATCACTCAAACGGAATAGTCGCCACATGACCAGCTTTTTCTGAAGAAAAAGGCAATCATTTGTTTCGAAGTGCATCTTCTTCGAAATACTGTAGAATTATTTGGCTTGAATACGAAGACCCACACGATCGATTGCCATTTTTGCTGATACTCCTAGCATCAATAATTTTTCATATAATGATCGTTTACGATGATCGTGAATGATGTATACTGATTAGAAACACATGCTGACTAAGACCTCGGGCAAAGGTCTATATTTAACTACGAAGAGTAAGCCGAGGCCTTCACGGAGAACGTAAACCGAAGCCTCTGTGGGAAACAGCATGTAAATTTCTAAATTCTAAATATTCTAAATTGCAAATCCTCATATGTAAAATGAGCAATCAAAAACACTTATGGCTGTGGTGTTACGAAGTGAATGCGAATTATCTCTTTGTGGTGAACGTTAATGCTAGCTTAGTTGGTGCAGTTCTATTTGCAATACGAGTACATTGTGTTGAACGTTACAAAATCTTAATGCGGGAATAACAAGAAATCATTCAGGGTTGTACGGGTAACGTCTCATCAACTCTAAGCTTTTGCCGATCAAAAATATATACTTTGATTTGGCTCGACTACGAAGATAAATATTTAAACATTAGGCCACGTATTAATCGAATACGAATAGTGTTAAATAAAGCTCGATTTGCAATTGTGGAACAAATGACAAAGTTAGTTTGTAGAATTGAGATAAATGGAAGTATGAGAACCGCATTTGTTATTGCATATCGCATAAAGAACACAAAGTACCGTCCAGATGGTAGTTTGAAAAGTGATCAGTAGTAATGTCTTCCTTAGTTGAGCTGATTAAGGTGTGATTGTATTTCTAAATTATATATTTATTAAATTGGATTAACAGCTACAGTAAGAATCAATAAAAAGTATGTATGTGAATCAATAAAAAGTATTGGTATCTTTAAGAAAATATTCTTAAATTTGTTTTTTACTTCTAACAATTGTTTATTTATGTACCTACTAGTGGCATAATCTGTATATATCCGTTGTAAGTAATCTGACAGCAGAAATTGACTTTTCAAGGAAAACATTGGAATCAAACTGAACAAACAGATTGATTAACACTTGTCTACAGGATCCCTTTTAAACACATAAAAATAAATAATTATTTTTTATGGCAATAATTAAAAAAATAATAATAATATCGATTTTATTATAAAAAGTTAAAAGCTTTAAAAATATTGTTAAGAAGGCGCCAACACTAGATTGAGTTCGAAGCCGATGTAGTGCAAATTTGTTGTCTAGTGTTGTTAATATAGCGTCTTGAGTAATTAGAGTATAAGTTATTAGATTTTTACAAATTGATTAATTACAGTTAATAAGTAAGTAACTAATAAAAGGACGTATGACGTGTAAGTCAGTTAATTTTCGTTTCTGATTGTTTTGAACAGCACAGTTTTTAATTGGCAATGAAAATATTGAGTTGCAAATAAAAATAACGCATATTACACATATTATTTATAGTGATAAATATGACCATAGAATAGTATTTTTATGTGCGGTTCGATGTTGTTAAGCTAGGTTTTTGGAAATTCGTATTTAAATATGTTAATCAACGCCCAGACAAAGCGGATGTAATCAGAATTTTGAAATTTTGTATATGAGTTGGTAATCCTCCAATAATCAGTGACCAGAAATAAACTAAAATCCTTAATTTTTGTTCCTGACTACGTGTGCTCTACACTCCGCTCTGGAGCTACCAAAGGGTTTGTAGAATCTCATACAAAATTTTAAGAGGTATCTTAAACACATAGCATTGATTTTTCGGAAATTCGTACTAAAGGTATACGGAAGTGAACTAAATTTTGCACCTTTCTTAAGGTAAAGCTGAAACGCTGAACATATATATTTCAAAATAAGTACTAATTAAAATATTGGATTCATTAAATTAAAAAAATGAAGTAAGTATATGAAAAGGTTCACCGACTACTTTTAGAAATTTTAATTATGGATAAGGAGTTAATTTTCGAAATTTTTACTATAAATTTATGAAAAATACTAAACTATACTTAATTTAGCTGGCTTGAGACAGAACATTTGTTCCATAAGCCTTCAATTTGATCTTTCTATCAAATACGTGGCCTTCCACTACGGCGTGATCCATCAGTTGGCTCGCTTATATACTCCCTTTGAGATGGAACATCCTCATGCATTTGCACAAAATAGCCTAGCCACCGTAGTCACTACAGCTCGATACGACCGACTAGTCGATGTCCCTGTATCGATGGTATATCTCGTTGTTCATTCAACGCAGATCAGAGAATGTTTCTTTCAAACACTCCAAGCATCGGCAAGGGTAGAATCAGCATCTTGTAGAGTGTGAATTTGGCCTGGCGTGGCCTTATTCTTAAATTGCTTACTCATACCATAGTTACATCTGCTGACCAACACTATCCTTCTCCGAATGTCAAAACCGATGGCATTACTTTCATTTATCGTAGTACCAAGGTATATAAAATCGTTGACAACCTCAAAGCTGTAGTTTTCAAGTTCCACAGTTGGTCCAAGTCTATTGGAAGTCTTGAGCGTTGATACCATACCATTCTCACCATTTACTTCCTGTCCCACTTTGGCAGACTCCATTTCATTCTGTTTTTTCAATTGTAGTTGTTACTGCTCGTAATGTTCGACCCATTATGTTGATGTCATCGGCGTATCACCTTGTCTGAATCCTCGTTCGGTATTAAAGGGCTCCGAGAGGTTCTTTCCGACTTTAACTCCTGGTCTTGTGCCAGTTAAACTTATCCTGCATAGCCGTATTAATTTTGCAGGAATGCCGAACGCAGACATGGCTTTAAATAGCTTTGAGCGGATAGGTCTGTCGAATGCGACGAATATGTTTAATGTGTCGATGTGTGTTCGTGGGTTTTTTCTATGGTGGATTTGCCAGGTCTTAAGTCGCATTGGTATGGTCCAATAATATCATTGGCTTAAGTCCTTCACACAGCACACTGGACAGCTCTTTATATGTGATGGAAGTAGACTAATTCCTCTATAGTAGGCACATATCGTCTTGTCTCATTTTTTGTGCACGTTACACAGGATGCTGAAGCTTCAATCAGTGGGCATGTTCTTCTCTAGCCAAATTGTTCTAATAAGTTGGAACATGCTGCTGATCAGCATTTGACCACCGGACCTTCCAGATCCTCAGCACGTATCTGTCAGTAGGTTTCCATCTTCATCTCTATAGGGGATGTGCCTGCACAACCCAGAGTTCATACGAGAGCTAGACATGTACCCTTTCTAACACCCTTGGAATTTTCGGATTCCGATCTTCCAACGAGGAGTTATCATCCCGGCCATCAAAAGTAAGGACTTTTCTTTAATCACCAAAAACAACAACATCCAAATTTTGAAAATTAGTATTCTTCTCTTTTAAATCTTCAATCATATATGTGTAAAGTTACAAACCTTAACATGCATTGGTATTCATTTACCAGCCCAACGAAAATCTTGAAAATTTAAAATCGAGAATGGGGGAGATCCCCTTAGCAAACCAACCATTAAACACTGATCTACTAATTATAAAAATATATTAGAGGTTTAGAAGTGTAAAAAATTTCAATTCAATTCTTATAACAATTGTGAACATTTTTCTTATGAAGTGTAAATTGTTAGTGGAAGCTTTTTATACCCTACACAACTATGTTGTCAGGGTATTATAGCTTTGTGCAGCCCCAAAATTTTATAACGCCGCGAAATATTAGTCCTAGACCCACCATTAAGTATACCGATCGGTATATCTCGACTAGCTGAGTCAATCTAGACATATGTGTCCGTCCGTCCGTCCATTATAATTTTTAAACACGATACAGGCCGCAGTTATGGACCAATCTTCACGATATTTTGCATGTAGGGTGGGTTCTGGCCAATGAAGACCCTATGGTTTTTGGTAAAGATTGATTAATATTTAGGAGATGAAATGAAACAAATAATTAATTTTTGTCGGAGAAGGGGATCGGCCCAAAGAATAAGCGTGCCAGTTTTGATAAATATCGGACTTTTGTGTGAAAAATTACAAAATTTTTATTTTATAGCGTATATATTTACACCTATAGGACATAGACCCGAGAAGTTGATGATGTATCAAAGATGAGTGGTTTGCCTTTAAATTGATATCAATTATATTGTCGTATGTACTCCGATGTGGGAGATACACTTCCATATTTACAGGTGCTTACGTATTCATATATTATTAAGTAACCCATTACCACACTAGAGGGCGGAAATATAGCGCTGATCGCTTTTTCGGTGATGATCAGATAATAATTTTGGGATGAAGTGGACCGAAAACTTAATTTGTTGTGTGTGTTTTTTTTTCGAGTCGATCTATAGACCATAATTATAAGCCAAACATCACAACACAACCCACGGTGAATGGAATCTGGACAAGTAATTAGAAGGGCTGTACTGAATATTAATAGTATTTGTTCACCGCTAGTCGGTCAGGAGGGTGCAAATATCGCGAAATATTGCCCAAGTTCAGAATGTATTACCACAGAAAGTTAGATTTGTATGTAAGTTGTGTAGGGTATCATACGGTCGACCCAGTCCGACTATACTGCTAAGCTCACTGGTTTAATTCAATATTTACATATTTATTGGGCAATTATATATAAAACTAATATGTATATGGCATTTATTAATTATCTTATTGAAAATGTTTATACAAAACTACATGGCATTTTTAATTGGCACAGTTAATATCGACAGAATCAAGACAATTGGAAACAATATTACAATATAAAAAACTAACATAATTAAATTCCAATAAAGTATTTATTTTTCATTATTTGATCACAACACTTTTAAAAAAGAACGTATCTGAAAAAATATTATTTATGGAAAAAATATTATTTTAATGATCAAAGCCTTGTATTACTTTCAAACAATTTTCTTTAAAAAATTCTCGCCTTGTGTTGGGTGTTGAAAAAATATTTAAAAATCCACGCATGAATGACTTTGGACAAAATATTCTTTTAAAGATCCAAACCTTGTATTACTTTAAAAAAAAAATACTCTTTTAAAAACCACATCTGGCTTTGGAAAAAATATTTTTTTAAAACCACGCCTGGCTTTGGAAAAAAATTCTTTTAATGATCCAAGCCTCGTATTACTTTAGAAAAAAATTATTTTAAAGAGCTACTGCTTGTATGACTTTTAAAAAAATATTATTTAAAAAATCGAAGCCGTATAAGGGACTTAAAAATGTTCTACCCAAAAATACTCCCCTTATAGAGATTTAGAAAACATATTGTATTAAAATCCACGTGTGTTATTTATTTTTTAAATGGTATACTAATTTATATTACAATAATTTAAATTTATTTTTGGTCTATTATACTTAGAATTATGAAACTATTAATCCTGAGAGTCTTCACTTTGTAATACCTCCTCCGTATCCTGCATAATTTTCATTACAACTGGATTAATGCGTTTTTTAATATTATAACCCCACATAAAATCGAAATGGGCAAATTTCTTCAAATTTACAAAATGTAAAACACTTCTATTCCCGAGAACACCACTGAATTTCTCAACATCCGGTTTCGTAGAGAAATCATCAAAATCACTATAGTAAAACTGAAAAGGGAATCGCGGCTGTATATTTTTCACATCATAATCCGGAGGTGTGGTACGATTATAATGCTCTAAATTCCCCTGACTGCCATAGTCATACTGGCGAAAATGTCCCGACAAATAAAGTTGAATAAAATGAAATGATTGGCGGGCTGAAGTACTTGCCGGGTGGGTTTCATAAACATCCGGTAAAATGGACTAGAAGAAGAAAATCCGATAATGATTATTTTTATTTTTTTTTTCGAATTCTACTTACTTTTTGTATAAAATCCGACATGCCACCATTCAGCAATGCCAGCAGAACGGTGCAAACCTCAATGGAAGCCTTACGATTATTACATGTTTTAAATAAACGCCCAGCAATCGGTATATACCTCGTAGTAGTATAACTCACCAGGCCATCCATTGGGGTATGCATATTTACAAAGGGCGCCAAGGAAAGGATCGGTGGAGCTCGTGCATGCTTGAGATAGGCAATGGGGGCAAACATATGCAGCGATTTTAATTTTCGATTATATTCCGGTTGCATGGAAAACAGAACAAATAAAATCGCTGTACCCTGAGAATGCCCCAAATAGTGAAGCCGAGTCTGCTGGGTCTTCTCCAAAATATAATCGATGGTATTGGGTAAATCCATGACTGCAATTTCATGCCAAGAAAATTCCCAAAATTTCGGAGAATCTGTTGATAGTTTTAAGTGGTGTTTTCCATAGGTATTGCCTCGAGCATTACCCAACCACACATCATAGCCGTTATCCACCATTTCATACACCAGGGCATCCTTTAGGCCACGCATAACCCAACAATCCGAGGAACTCATTAAACCATGCATTAGGAGAACCGCTGGACCGGGTGTAGATCTCGTCTCATTGTTTCGTCCAATTATACGAAACACCGTCAAAACATAACCATCTTCCGTAATGACTGTATGTGTTTCACTTCCATATCCAGCCGCATGGATACGATCAGCCTGCATACGGAAAGTGATTAGAATTCTGATTTTCTTCTCGAAATTAGTTACTTACAGTTATCTGTGTGCTGGCATTCAAATACTGCATTAGAACAATTAAAATAATTAAATATCCGACCACAAGTGATTTCATTGTCACCGTTAGATCTTGGCGGATCGAATGCTTAGAGAGAAATGGTCACAGAACGCCCAGATGATTTCTATAAACTAATCTTTATGGGGTAAAATACCTTCAGATGAAATAATCTGTACCGCAAACGAAATACCCTACGGAAATATGAACGGACTTTTTAAAGATTATTTTTTCAAGGGCCATCCATACAAGGCGTGGATTTTTTAAAGAATATTTTTTCAAGGGCTATCCATACAAGGCGTGGATTTTTTAAAGAATATTTTTTCAAAGGCCATTCAAGGCGTGGATTTTTTAAAGAATATTTTTTCAAGGGCCATCCATACAAGGCGTGGATTTTTTAAAGAATATTTTTTCAAGGGCCATCCATACAAGGCGTGGATTTTTTAAAGAATATTTTTTCAAGGGCCATCCATACAAGGCGTGGATTTTTTAAAGAATATTTTTTCAAGGGCCATCCATACAAGGCGTGGATTTTTTAAAGAATATTTTTTCAAGGGCCATCCATACAAGGCGTGGATTTTTTAAAGAATATTTTTTCAAGGGCCATCCATACAAGGCGTGGATTTTTTAAAGAATATTTTTTCAAGGGCCATCCATACAAGGCGTGGATTTTTTAAAGAATATTTTTTCAAGGGCCATCCATACAAGGCGTGGATTTTTTAAAGAATATTTTTTCAAGGGCCATCCATACAAGGCGTGGATTTTTTAAAGAATATTTTTTCAAGGGCCATCCATACAAGGCGTGGATTTTTTAAAGAATATTTTTTCAAGGGCCATCCATACAAGGCGTGGATTTTTTAAAGAATATTTTTTCAAGGGCCATCCATACAAGGCGTGGATTTTTTAAAGAATATTTTTTCAAGGGCCATCCATACAAGGCGTGGATTTTTTAAAGAATATTTTTTCAAGGGCCATCCATACAAGGCGTGGATTTTTTAAAGAATATTTTTTCAAGGGCCATCCATACAAGGCGTGGATTTTTTAAAGAATATTTTTTCAAGGGCCATCCATACAAGGCGTGGATTTTTTAAAGAATATTTTTTCAAGGGCCATCCATACAAGGCGTGGATTTTTTAAAGAATATTTTTTCAAGGGCCATCCATACAAGGCGTGGATTTTTTAAAGAATATTTTTTCAAGGGCCATCCATACAAGGCGTGGATTTTTTAAAGAATATTTTTTAAGGATCATTTCAGGCGAGGACTTTTTAAAGAATATTTTTTAAGGATCATTTCAGGCGAGGACTTTTTAAAGAATATATTTTAAGGATCATTTCAGGCGAGGACTTTTTAAAGAATATTTTTTAAGGATCATTTCAGGCGAGGATTTTTTAAAGAATATCTTTTCAGGCGTGGACTTTTTAAAGAAATGATGATCCTTGAAAAGATATCAAGGATCATTTCAGGCGTGAACTTTTTAAAGAATATTTCTTTAAGAGCCAACACAAATGTATATTGCCAGTCAGTTAGTGTAGCGCTAATAAAAATAAATTATTCCTGATATTTCTACAAGTCATTTTATGGTAATAAAAAAACTTTGTAATGAATTGTAATATGTTTATATTTATTCACAGTTATAGAAAAAGAAGTGGAGGTGAATGCAATTGATTGTCATTGTTATGCCGTACGTGTCAAGATTCTAGATACAGAGAAAAATTATCGATTTGTATCAGGTGTGGACTGTGACTATCTCAGTTTAATTTTAATCGCTGGCAATAAAGTTTGCTCTTGGTGTCATCCTTAACATACATTAATATATTTGTTTTATTAGTATAAAAATAGATTTTTTTATATTTTTGCAGTGTTAGAAAAATCTAAAAGTTATCCAATTATTATTATCAAATTTCTTATTGGTTCGGAATTAATTTCATCAAAGAAAGATGATGATTTTATTGCAAAAATATATTCTATCTATATACACTTTTAATAAGTAAAAGTACCTATTTTATTAGCTTGGAGTGTGGCGTATCGGCATTTAACTACTCAGCAAATATATGAAAAACAAAATAATTATATATAGAAAAATAACTAATTAATCGACTTTGTAATTACAGTATATTATTTATATATGGATTGTTTTGATCCCATTACCTCATTGAGAAAAATTCATTCATCAACATTGTAGGTTCTACAATCCTCGCCTTATACATGAGCCTTGAAAAAATATTTCTTAAAAATCCTCGCCTTATACATGAGCCTTGAAAAAATATTTCTTAAAAATCCTCGCCTTATACATGAGCCTTGAAAAAATATATCTTAAAAATCCTCGCCTTATACATGAGCCTTGAAAAAATATTTCTTAAAAATCCTCGCTTTATACATGAGCCTTGAAAAAATATTTCTTAAAAATCCTCGCTTTATACATGAGCCTTGAAAAAATATTTCTTAAAAAACCTCGCCTTATACATGAGCCTAGAAAAAATATTCTTTAAAAAATCCACGCCTTATATATGAGCCTTGAAAAAATATTCTTTAAAAAATCCACGCCTTATATATGAGCCTTGAAAAAATATTCTTTAAAAAATCCACGCCTTATATATGAGCCTTGAAAAAATATTCTTTAAAAAATCCACGCCTTATATATGAGCCTTGAAAAAATATTCTTTAAAAAATCCACGCCTTATATATGAGCCTTGAAAAAATATTCTTTAAAAAATCCACGCCTTATATATGAGCCTTGAAAAAATATTCTTTAAAAAATCCACGTCTTATATAGACTTTGTACAAATATTCCTTAAAAAAGCCAGGTCTTGGTTTGATCCTTGCAAATATATTCTTTAAAAAATTCACGTCGTACATGTCCCTCGAAAAAATATTCTTTAAAAAGTGAGCGCCTTGTATGGCGCTGGTAAAAATATTCTTTAAAAAATCCACACCTTGTAAGAGCCTTGAAAAATAATCTTTAAAAAATGCGCACCTTGTAAGACCTTGAAAAAATAATCTTTAAAAAATCCGTACCTGAAAAAATATTCTTTAAAAAATCCGCGCCTTATATATGAGCCTTGAAAAAATATTCTTTAAAAAATCTACGACTTGTATGGCTTTTCAACAAAATATTCTTTAAAAAACCCACGTCTTGTGTTGGTCCTTGAAAAATATTCTTTAAAAAATTCTTACAGAGGCCCATTAAGGAATTCAAGTTTTTAAATAACAATGTTTTTTTTAACAATTCCTGCATTTGTTGTCGTCCTGCCATCGGCACACTCCACACCTTTCGGCAGTAGCGTAACAACAAATAAAATTATAGCCACTAGAACGTTTTTGAAATTCATAGACTTCAGAAAACTTCCGTATTTGATGTGACATGAAAAGGGTATATAGCTTCTCAAAGTGATTTGTATTCTTCGAATGAGACACTGAAAACGTGATTACAATAATTTAATTACAATAGCTATATTGAAACCAAGAGACATGAGGTTGGGTTTCCTTTGCAATGCTAGTTACATTTGCGTACATTAGAATGAGATATGGCATATTGGCGAATGATTTAGTATTTCATAAAAATGAGGGAGTACCCTTTATAAGAAAAAAACTTGACATGTCATAATCCTGCCTAGAACCGAATTATAAGAAATGAAAAATATAAGAAATAGAAGAATGGACTATGTACACCATAGAAGAATGGGCGATGTTGTATAATGTAAGCAGAAAAGTTATTTTCTTAGGAACTGTTGACTGAAATAATATGGAAACTGAAAAGTGTCTAGGACGACAAATACGATTCCCGGAAGAAAATACTAAACAAACAAGCTGCAAAATGACAATCGGCTTTGTCTACATATACAGTGGTGATTACATATTTAGCACACAACTGCAGACAATATTTGTTTGATATAATTCCAAATATTTTATGGAAGAGCAGAAAATTGCCATCAACAATGATATACCTCTTTCTGGTACCACCCACGAAAATATCAAAATTTTGGGAAATTGTATACAGCGTTATCCATGTCGTGATTTCAAAAGTAAACGTAAATAAGACAAACTGTATGAATATTGGTAGCCCCATAAATAGGGTTATTGGTGTTAAATCCCATAATCTTAGATAATATCGCTACGAAGAAAAAATACGCGGCTTTGAAATGTCTTTTGCAATAATGCCATATTCGCTCAGGTTGTATTACATGCGGCACCGTCTTGTTGAAACCACATATTCCCCAAGTCGTATTCTTCAATAGCATGCAAAAAAAATCGGTTATCACAGGAACATTTTCGAAGGAGTAAGGTCCAATCACTACTTTTGGACCTAAGAGACTTTTTCTGGATGTATTGGTCTCTTTTCAATTACTGGAGGATTCTCGAAACCCCGAATTTTTCATTTGATATGTGTCGTACATTAACAGATATATAACCCAAAATAGGTTAGCAGCCTATTAAATAAGCTTCCTCCAAGAACGTTTTTAATAAAGGCTTTTGTTTTTACGTAGTCCCCATTTAATTATTTTATGATCGTAGAAAAAATTCCAAACCAAACTCATGTACCTTGGCATTCCGAATTCTAAGTTGCTAAACCAGGGATGCCATCTATCATTGTCTAGAAAAAACGAATTAGTATTTGCATTTTTTCTCTGGGTGGCGCTATTTCTTGTCATTCATATTTTTGTGTTATCCTCATGTGTTTATGCCGAAGTTTGATATTAGAATTTCCGAGAGCTTCAAATGCATTTCATTTGCAGTTGGATGAAAGACTCTTTTTGTTCTACAAATAATCGAAAACCACTTTGAAAAAAAATTTATACCTCCGTTTGGATTCGAACACAGCTCTTATAACTTTGTAATTTGGCCATGGACTACGACACCGCCTTGTTTTGATATAGCTTCCATAAGGATACTTTGAATGTCCAATTTCTGCTTCGTAGATGATTTGTCAGCTGCAGCCTGTGCTAGGTGATTGGGCCGCCATCTATCGTTGCCTAGAAACAATGCCTCCTTGAATTTTGTACAGTTCTTGGGATATTTGTTTATTTAGTGTTGCAATTTGTTTCCATCCGGGTGTCGCCATATGATCTAAGTCCTATTTTTTGTAATTCCTATTAATGTGTTGATGCCTAGATTTCTTATTAGATTGTCAGAGACTTCGGATGCAATTCATTCAGTGGCGATAAGCTTATTTCAGACAAATATTCGAAAAAAATTTAAAAAATATTCCTCTTGGCTGCGAATCACACCCGTGTCCCATATGTTATTGTTTGGTACTGAACCACAATAATCGCCCAGTGTTTTGACATAGCTATAATAAAATTGGTCCTGGCGAAGTATATACGTACATAAAAGGCCCAAATCCTGCTTCGTGTTTGCTGCTTTATCATTGTTTTATTCCAGCTAAATAGATGGCCTGCTGTAGCCTGTCCTTAGTGATGGGACTGCCCTCTATTGTCACCTAGGATGTGCAGTGGTTGCAGTCCTTGCTTATTTATTGTTGCATTTCTCTCTAGGCGGCGCTATGTGTGAATGACGAGATTTATAAATGTAATGTCAGAGGTGCTTCGAATGCATTTCATCTGGAGGGGTGCGTAAGACTATTTTTCGTTATTCGAAAATAACAATTTGAAATCGGTAACCATAAGTTTGTGCATTATGACACCAGACATAGCTCTCATAAAATATTCTCTGCTGATTTTAGGTACATTAAATGTGTGCAGGGGTTGTGGTCCATGCTTATTTATTATTGCAATTAATTCCTCAGGTTGGCGCTTTCTTCTGCTGTCCTCATTTGGATGCTTCTTATTAGAACGCTAGGGTATTCGGCCGCATTTCATAAGAATATATGCCTTATTTTTTACAATTAGTATTTCCTCCTGACACTGCGTTGCACTTCCGCGCTCCCATGTTCTGACCTAGTTCTCAAACACGTCAATTTTACATGCACTGCTAATTTAATTTTAAGTATGGCATTTTCAATGGAAGAATACATTTTTGAAAAAAGCGAAATATTGTGGATCCGCCTCTAGACTTATGTCGATTATTTAATACTTCTATTAACAAGGAGATATTATGATGTATTTTAAGCGGATTAGGGGCTCATTTTAATTAGGGATACGTAGTCGAGCGCAAAAGTCGACTTTTAGACATTTCGATTTTTGCCTTTGACGTTTCGATCTTTCGACTTTGTCAAACATGTTCAAAATCGATCTTGAAAAGTCGACATTGCGATTTTTTCAAAGAACAAAAGTCGACTTCGACTTTTAGATTTTTCAATACAAAAAGTTGATTAGTCGAAAGTGGCTTTACTTATCCCTAATCTTAACACTTCAAGACATCAATCATTAGCTCCCGAGCAGAATATAAAATAATTTATTTCGTTATTAATGTCGCGTACGTGAGAATAATTTAAAATGGTCCTTCCATAAATATCCTATCTAAAAAGTTTGTAGTAAAACTTCATAAGAACAAAGGAATTAAGAATAAATATATTTAAATTAAACTAAAATTTGTTCTACATACTTCTATATCACATACAAATTTATCTTAGTTTTAAAAATCCGTAATACTTATGATTTCCTCTCCTGCTGCAACAACTGCTCCACCTTATTCATTTGCCGCACTATACCATTATTTAAAATTCTCTTCACATCCGAACTCCACAAGAAATCACCGTGAGCAAAATTCTTCTCTTTAACGTAATGTGGTGTACATCGTTTACCCAAAACGTGGGCCAATTTTTCAACATCCTCTCGCGCAGACAGGACATCATTATCACTGTAATATAAATTTAAAGGAAATCGAGGTTTAATATTGGCCAGCGGATAATCGGGTGGCGAGGTGCGGTTGTAACGTCGCAAATTTCCCTCTACACCGTAATCATATGGCGTGAAACGTCCCGACACATAGGCCTGCACAAGATGTATAAATTGATGGGTGGAACATCGTGCCGGATGGGTTTTAAATATTTCCGAATACAGGGACTAGAAAAAAAATAATTTTAGAATTTAAATTATTTCAAAATTTTAAAGACAATCGCTTTCGCACTCACCCTGGATATATGTGTGGAATAACCTAACATCAGTGTCAGCAAAATTTCACATATTTCCGGTTGCGCCATAGGACTGCGACATTTTGGTATGCCAAGCAATTTTTGTAAAATGGGATTTTGTACAAATGATCGATCTCCATAGATGGGATCCAAATCGCTATATGTACCCAAGAGCGGTGCAGCCAAATGTATTGGCTTCGAGCGGGCATGTGACATAAAGCCAATCGGTGCAAACAAATGACTAGTTTTCAATTTCTCATTATACCGCGGTTGTGTGGAGAGTAAGGCCATCAATATTGCCGAACCCTGAGAATGACCAAAATAATGTAGGCCAGATTGTTGGGTAATTCGTAGAATATAATCTATAGTTGTGGGTAGATCTTTTGCCGCAACATCATCCCATGAATATTGCCAAAATCGTCGATCAGTATCGGGTAGAGTAGTATGACGATTACTATATGGATTGCCACGAAAATTTCCCAGCCACACATCATAACCATTGTCGGCTAAATTGAAGGGGATAGCATCTTGGGGTCCACGCAATATCCATGCATCTGAGGAACTTAATAAGCCATGCATCATTAGGGCTATGGGTTTGTGGCCTCCGCTCACTGTTGAATTTGTTAAGCGAAATACTCTTAAAATGTAACCATCTTTTGTGGGAATTTTGTGGGTCTCAGCGGAATAGCCATGGCTTCTTATGCGATCAGCCTTAGTAGAAAAAGGTGAAAAAGATATTAAAATATTTTTATTTGAGAGTGTTTCGTACTTACTGTGGTCCGAGGAACAGCGTGACCCACAGATAGGGATAATACTAACGGTATTATTATTAGAATTATGTTCATATTTGTAAATAACAGGAAATTATAATCTCTGTGCCGAAATTTTTACTGAATTTAGTTGAGGTGAACTTGAGAAGAAGAATATTCAAATTTTCGCCGCCTTCTTAAATAGGAGTCTAATGAAAGACATAAGAGGATAATACAAAATAGGAGAAAAGGAACCATCCAGTCGAAAATGGCAACACTGCATAAGCAGGGACCCCAACCACTTCAAAAATTAAGGAGGTGTTGTTCTAGACATCGATAGATGGCAGCCCAATCACAGTGTAGTGAATAGTGTGCCAGACTACAAACTACATACCGATCGGACTAGATGAAATGCATGTGTGCAACCGAAGATTGGTCAGTAATTTTCATAAATCATTGGTTTTATTCCGGCTAACTAGATGACTGGTCTACTGTCCCCTTTTTTAAGGATGGGTCTGCCATCTACCGATGTCTAGAATTGCAGCGTTCTTTAATTGTAGACAATATCACATGCCATTCCTATTTGGTGTTATCCTCATGGACTTCAGCTATGAGGATAACACCAAATAGGTAATAAAACAAAGTAGGAATGAAAGAAAATAGAAATAATGACAACAACACTACGCAATATATAGAGAGTCGTTGTTTTAGGCATCGTAAGATGGCAACCACCTAGGGCAGGCTACAAGTGAGCAATCGTTTACTTCGCTGGAATAAAAACAAATGATTAACGAACGCATGGAATAATCGAGAAAAGTGGCTATGATTTGTAAAAGACCTATGATCGCATGAGAAGTAACAAGATAACAAATCAAATCGGAAATCTTCATTTGACTTCCACAATGGTCGTGATGATAGAATGGTTTATGGACCTATTCTTTGTCCATAATAAGATCCTAGGGCTAGCAATATACATTAGTTTTCTATAAGAAAACCATCATTGAAAAGAACTAGCGCCCTCCAGACGCAAATGGTAACGCTAAATAAGAAGTTGTTGTTTTTAGACATCCATATATGGCAGCCACTATCACCTAGGAGAGGCTGTAGCTGTCCAATCCCCTACTTAGTTGGAACAAAACCAATGATTAATGAAACTAACTAAACAAAATCGGCATCGACACATGAGAATAACACAAAATAGGAATGATAGAAGATAGCGGCACCCAGAGGAAAATGGCAACAACACTATATAAGCAAGGATCTCAACCAATACCCAAAATATAAAAAGGCGTTGTTTCTAGGCATTGTTAGATGAGAGGCACCTAGCACAGGCTGGGAAAGAAAGATGAAAATTTACGAATATGAATTTATTGTCGTTGAGGGTACTATGTAAAATATTATAAGCAGCATGTTTGTAGAGTTTATGGAGATCTAAAAACCCCTTTTAAGGCTCAAGAAAATAATGACTAAAAATCGCACAACGATTCGAGGCAGAAGAAGGATGTTTTCCAAAAATATTCCTTATTCGATTTGACTGAAGATAAGATATCACAAAAATAATCTGCAATAATATTATACTCCACTTAGTCGGAAAAATTAAAGACCACCATCAAGAAACTCGTGTTACGATAAGGAGTGTCGTAATGCTACTGATGTGAAAAACGCAGCGTATAGAGCAACCCTGCAGATAGTAACAACACGCAATGCGATGGAGATTTATCGAGAGATAAGTAAAGAGGAGAAACGTATTTTCAAAAAAAAAAGGGGAAAGAACTAAAACACGTGAGCGGGAACAAATTGAGATGTACGGGAGTCAGAACGAAATCCGGAAATTTTACCAAACCAAACTCATACTCTACAGGACGCTTATCCTTGACCTTGATTTGTACTAGCTATTCCCGGACATCGGCATTGTCAGACGTATTGAGCTGCAGCGACTACGTTGGCTAGGTCGTGTTGTGAGAATGAATGAAGATGTCCCTGTTCAGAAGGTATATAAAAGCGAACCAGCTGATGGTTCATGCATGAGGGCCAATAAATTTTCGAAAAAAAAAACAATCGGGATGCTTGCAAAGGTTTTTTCTAAGATCAACAAAGGGATATATTCGCATGATCCCGCAACAAATCAGCAATCGATTGTGTGTGTAATCGAAGACGAAGAAGCACTGCGAAATAAATAGTCGAAAAACTGATCATATGGCGACTGTTCAGCTAGAGCAATGTGGGATAGTTTATTCCGAAACAAATCATTAATCGATCTTGTGTGTAATCGAAAACGAAGATGCACTGCGAAATAAATGGTCGCAAAACTGATCATGTGGCGACTGTTCAGCTAGAGCAATGTAGGATAGTTTATTTATAAGATATGATATATAAGTCTTCAGAGAAATTCGAAAAAATAACATGGGAACGTTTAGACAATCAAAATGCGAGCTCTCTGGTGTACTATATACAGAACACCTTCTGCATATCTTCTATAAACAAAATAGCTTCTGCATACGGAAGACTTCTCCAGGTTTTTTTTTTTTTTTGGACTGAAGATCTTCTTTAGACAGAAGACATTATGCAGGTCAGCTATGGACAGAAGGTCTTCTGAAGGTTTGTATTTTAAAGACAGAAAATCTTATCACGTTTTTTATTATATAGAACACCTTCTACCTTGCCCAGATTTTTCACAAACAGACAGAAGACCTTATATATCTTGTGTACTATATACAGAACACCTGTTGTATATCTTCTATAGACAAAATAACTTCTGCCTACGGAAGACTTCTACAGGTTTTTTTTTTTTTTGACAGAAGATATTCTTTAGACAAAAGGCATTATGCAGGTCAGCTATGGACAGAAGGTCTTCTGAAGGTTTGTATTTTAAAGACAGAAAGTCTTATCATGTTTTTTATTATATAGAACACATTCTACCTCCCACAGGCTTTTCACAAACAGACAGAAGACCTTATATAGGGATTTTTAAACAGAAGAATATCTCCAGGTCTTCCATAGGTGACCTTCTACAGAGTTTCAAAAGACAGAAAACATTCTGCTGTTCTCTGGAACACCATTAAAGAAACCAGAATTTAAAATTGCTGCCACTTCGGTTGGCAAATTCAGAAAACCTTCTCTAAGTTGTCCATATCCAGATGACCTTCGACAAAGTTTCAATAGATAGAACACCTTCTACAGTTCTTCCAGAGACATAAGACCTTTTTCAGCTCTTCTACGTTTTTTCTTACAACCAAAGAATACGCAATGTGAAAACTGTTACAACTTCGGTTCAACATAAAATTCTAAAAATTGTATGATACCGTGCACGTTTCTCAGAATTTCTTCAACAATCGACATAATAAAAATTCACAGGACGGCAGTTCTATTTTTCATGTTTTTCTTGGGTATTCGAATATATTATCGTAATGTAATCTTCATACATTCCCGTACAATTCTCTACCGAATTTATTTACATGTCAATCTATGACAAATGTTCTCACATTTAATTCACTCTGTAACAAGTTCCTTTTTTTCAATTATTCAAATTCAATATTCTATTTCTCCAATTTCACAATTTCTACAACATTGGCTATGTTTCACGTTCTACGATATACTGAAGTGATGCTTAATCATTTGGCAAACCACAAAGACTTTAGAATCATCGTAAAAAACTGTGTCACAGCGTGATTTTTAAATATTCATCCCGACTAAGAATTAAAAATCTATATACAACACAACAACAACAAAAATCGCTATTTCATGACCCATAAAAATGTGTGTTGTTATTCAATACGCTGTGATGTGACATTTCAGAATTTGACAGCATAAACTTAATTAGAAAACCGATTGGAATCTGAAAGTTACCGAGGCTGTATGTAATAAATTTCGTCGTCTAGTAAATAGCTGGCTTGCGATCAGTGAACGCAGCGAAGTGTTATTATGACCTATAAAAAACCGGCGGTATTTTTAGTATTTTGTTTTATAATATATATTTAAATGCTAATTAAGCGACAAAGAGAGAAAGAGAATTTATTTAAACTAGTTTCAAAAATTAAATAATAAAAAGTGATAATTGATTTGATATTTAAATATATGCGGAGGGATTGAAGGGGATATGAAAACGATAGGGGCCTTTTAAGATATTTGGGAATTATTTATAATAGTAAATTTATATTTATAGAATATCTTGTCATTAGTTCGTATTAGAGTCTTCTATGGATAGATCGCCTTTTGCAGATCTTCTAAGGACAGAATATGTTGGACAGAACTTTATTGGCAGATCTTCTATGGACAAAATATCTTCTGTAGAATTTACACAGGCAGACGAATCATCCGGGTATTCTATAGACCATCTACAGGTCTTCCGTACACAGATGTCTCTCTGCAGATGTCCTACATACAGAGGATCTTCCACAGGACTCCTATAGACAAAAGTCCTTCATTATATCTTCTGAACACAGCAACCCATCTAATGACCTTCTAGAGACCTTTAACATGTCTTCTATGGATAAAAAATTTTCCACAGGTCTTCTAAAGACAGAAGGCCTTACATAGGTCTCCTATAGACTGAAGAACATCCATCAGTTTTTAAGGAACGTAGACTTTCCATAGGTAGACTTTCCATAGGCAGAAGGCCATCCTTAGTCCTTCTACAGACAGAAGACCTTCCACGGGATTTAAAAAGACGGAAGACCATCCCCAGTCCTTCTGCAGGCAAAAGACTTTCCACAGCAGGCAGAAGACTTCCCTTCCACATGTCGTATAGAGATGAAAGACCTTCCACAGGTCTCAAAGAGACGGAAGATCTTCCTCAAGTCTTATGTTGACAAAATACCATCAACAGGTCTTCTAAAGACAGAAGACCATCATTCGTCCTTCTGCAGACAGAAGACCTGCCACAGGTCTTCTAAAGACAGAAGATCATCTTTAGTCCTTCTTCAGACAGAATACCTTCCACAGGTCTTATAGAAATGAAAGACCTTCCGCAGGTATTATAGAAATGGAAGACCTTCCGCAGGTATTATAGAGACTGAAAACCTTCCTCAGATCTTATGTAGACAAAATACCATCAACAGACATTTTAAAGATAGAAGACCTTCCACAGGTCTTTCAAA